AATCATGGACCGACAGGTAAAGAAGCTAAGGAGCAAAGAGGTGCCGATGGTAAAAGTACTTTGGAAGAGTGATCGTGTCGAGGAGCAAACTTGGGAAGTGGAGACCCTGATGAGGGAACAGTATCCATTTCTGTTTGACTAGACGCGTGGATTTCGGGGACGAAATCCCAAATAAGGGGGGTAGAACTTGTAACACCGCCCCCGAGTATTTGTACTGTACCAAATTTTGTATTGAACCTTGAGAAATGTATAAAAGCATTTTTACGTGATTGTAAATTTTTATCATTTCTATTACGTGAATAGTAAAATTCACGTGGGACCCACACCGGATGTGGGGCCGCCCGATATTATCGGGACCACATATTATATTAATCTTGGACTAGATAATATGTATATGGTGATGGATATCCTAATTGGGCCATGGCAATGGCATAGAGATGACCGGTTGGTCAAATGGGGCCAGATTATCGGTATCGGCAAATTATCGGATAACAGCCCAAAAAGGGATTCCGGAGACTTCTAAATTAAAGTTGGGGAATGCATATTGATTCTAAGGTCCAATGAGGATTGGGAACAAGTGTTATATTTTATTTGACCCGATAAAATAAAATATACTTAAAACAGTCCGGAAAATACAACTTTCGGGACCGATTGTACACGTCGGGATTTAAAGGGATGACCTCCCACATGAGTGGGGGACACCCCACGAAATTATTTGAGACAAGGCATGGGCTTGGGTGTCCAGAGGGCAGGGTTGTTGAAGGGAAGAGCTGACTTGAGGGTTTTGACATCAAAAGGACAAGGTAGGGCCATATTTTTGCTATCATTGAGGTATAAGCCAAAATAGAGCCATATCCCTCCCCCCTTAGCCCATCTGCCCGACCAACCTAATCAATATTGAGAGAGAAGCTCTGCAAATCTTCATTTCCCCCATTGCCATTCGAACCAAGCTCAAGAAGGAAGAAAAGGAAGTCTAAGGAGGATTAAAGAAAGGAAAAGCTAGGGAAAGTGTGAAGAATCAAGGTAATAACCTTGTAACAACTTTTCCTTAACTTCTTATATACCATATGACCAATATATCACATGAAGGACCCCTAGTATTGTTCTACACTTTTGGATGTGTAGAAAGAGGGGTTGGAAGGTGGTTCTAAGTCCAAGAACGGACTTAGAAGCCAAAGTAACCGGTTAGCCGGAAAATAACCTTTTGGAGGGTATTTGTATTACTATGGGTTTTGTGATGATAAAACCTTGTTAGTAACTTGTCTAAGGTATTCAAGGAACTTTCACGGAGTCGAAAAGGTCGCCGGAGTTGCCGCCGGAGTTCGTTGAAGTTCGTCGGAGTTTCGCCGGAGCTAAATCGGGAAGGCTAGAACTTCATAAGCTTCATTAAGGTGAGAAGACGGCTTTATGCTTTATAAATTTTGCGTGAGGCATGATATTACCTAAAGTAATCATGGGTATGTTTTGTGGAATGATTTAAGATAATCAAGTATTTGCTTATGCCATGATTTTGCATAAAACATAGTTGAAAAGCATGTTATGTAGGTTTGGTGATTAAAAATGTGATAACATTTTTTGTGTGATGATCCAGGGGTCCAAAATGGTATTTTTGGATCAAGGACATCAAGAAGTATATGTGTATAAAATTTCAAGTTAATCGGACACCGTTTGGGTGGTCGAAAGGGGCGTTGACCGCCAAGTCAACTACCATACCCGACCGGGTATCGACACATACCCGACCGGGTATTTGCTGAAAAATTTCCCAGGGGGCTACTGTCTCCTATACCCGATCGAGTATAGGTAGATACTCGATCGAGTATTCATTGAAAATTAGATTTGGGGGCTACCGCCTCCTGTACTCGACCGAGTATGGGTAGATACTCGATCGAGTATTGGTTTATGCTCAAAACAGGCAGTTTTGAGCGGGTTAATGTGGGCCGTTCAGGTGGGACCCGCCCACATTGGTTCCTAAGGATGGTTATATGACTATAGGGCTAGGTATTGTCCATAGTTGGAGGAACGAAAGGTTAGCCATATCCAGGTTAGGGTTTGGTAAGGATTTAGTTTGGGGTTGAGTATCCCCGGGACATTAGATGATCCTGAAACTCGGTTGGGGTTGAGCATCCCCGGGACTATAAATGATCCTGAAACTCGGTTGGGGTTGAGAATCCCCGGGACATTAAATGATTCTGAAACTCGGTTGGGGTTGAGCATCCCCGGGACTATACATGATCCTGAAACTCGGTTGGGGTTGAGCATCCCCGGGACTGCAAATGATCCTGAAACTCGATTGGGGTTGAGCATCCCCGGAACATTTAATGATCCTGAAACTCGGTTGGGGTTGAGTATCCCCGGGATGCTAAGTGCTCCCAAAACTCGGTAGGATATTATAAATGTAGAATGTAGCTGGCGAGCTAGGCATTCGGGAAAAAGGTGAGAAAGGTCAGGTAAGAACTTTATCTCTAAAAGAATCTTTGAATGAAATGACCTACGGGTCGAGTATTTTACATATATATACAGTATGTATCACCGGATGAATGAGTCACATATATATATGTATCACCCTATTTTTGGGTCTCGTGTCTGAAACATTAGTTATTCTTCATATAGCCTGCTTGTCACTAGTACTTCTATGGAGTACTGACCCCTCCGGGGGCCCTCACATTTTTCAGGTTGAGGCTAGGGTCCTACTACCTGCACCTTTGCCTAGGGTGATCGATCGAGAAGGAAGACGTGGTTCGTGCTTCCATTCATATTTCAAATGTATAAACTGCTCATGGATTTTTGAACAATATTTTCATTAAAACAGTTGGGGGCCTGCGTGCCCGTGTTTGCCACGTGTGGCCAAGTATCAAACATTTTATTTTTTCCGCATTTGTTTGATTATGATATTGATGTTGATTGTATGTGTTTACTAATCGGTTTGGCAATAGAATCAATCAGACGCCTTGTACAATCCAATAGGGATGAACTGTTGTTGTTCTTATCGGGATGTACGGCGGTTGTCTACGTGGCTCGGATGCGGTCCGGGGCGTGACAACGAATGAGTACTATTAAAGGACTGGTCTCGTATCAAAGCCTCCCTAATAGTTTCGGCCTATATTTTGAAACATTGTGCATGAGTCTCAGGAGTGGTGCAAGTATCATATAAAGAAGGCTAGTGGTCGATTCCTTCAGGTGGTGATTGATCCAATGCAGTAGTGAAAAATCCCAATTTGTGTGATTGTCAGAAGAATAGGCAAGATGCGTTTATGTTCTAAGTGCAAAGGGACAGTCTCGCAAAACATGCACGACTATATCAGGTGGTCATTGACACCAACTGTTCCGATATCTGTCATGTGTTGATGACTCGACGTCTCTTTTCCTCATTTGTTAGTAAACGATCATGGGCTGCCAACCAAAGGTAGTGTCTAATCCGATTCGGTCCGTGCCAACGCCAAACTTGGTGTAGTCCATCAAACCAAGTTTCTCTCCATTACACTACTACATTTTCGGGCCTAATGTAACGTTATTTTTGTAACAGTTAGTAAAAACGTTACATTAAGTTCATATATTGTAATAGTTATATATCATTTGGTTCATTTGTGTAATTACTGTTACACACTGTTACATTTGGTTCATCTATTGTAATGGTTATATATCATTTGGTTCATTTTCATAACTCACGTTACATACTGTTACACTTAGTGTGATTCTAATGTAACACTATTTTTTTAATATATACCACCGACGTTTGCTTAAAAAATGTAACACTCATTGGTAATACTTTACGAAAAAATTTTAGCGCCATAGAAAAATAAAATTCGCATCACGTTTAGTAATAAGTAAAACATCCCGCCAAACTAAAATATTTTAAGGATAAACACCGTCCCCCCAAATCATACAGCCTAATTAATCAATCAAAACCAATCAAAACCAAATCAAAACAAAACCCTAAGGAAAGTTTGCAAATCACACGCAGAGAGCTAAGCGGTCACAATAAGGAATCTTCCGGTGAGCCGCACATCGCAGAGCTAAGGGTAGAGCCGATTGGTACTCTTCCGGTGAGCCGCACATCGCAGAGCTAAGCGCAAAGCCGATTGGTACTCTTCTGGTGAGCCGCACATCGCAGAGTTGATTTCCCATTCCCTGATGTGAGGCGCACATCGCACGCTGAGCCGCACACGAGGTGGGTTTCTCTGTACTCATCATCTGTGTGTTTCATTCATCTTTGAATTCGTATTATATTCATGTTTGACGGAGTGGATTGTAGTTCAATCGGTTGTAGTAAAAACCATGGGGCTAAGCACGAGGTTATAGATTCCCATAGAATGCAAATAAAACCTACTCGTACTACACCAACAAGTTTGGCTGTAAAATTTATGGATTTGGAAAGGTCATACTATACTCATGTTTGACGGAGTGGATTGTAGTTCACTCGGTTTGAGGGAGATTGCCTGTCAATTACAACTCATAGATAAGGGCAACTCCAAAATTTATTTTTGAGGTTCAACTTTTGTGCCATTAATAGACCACCATCTTTCACGAGTAATCCCTAACTGTAAAATTTCACCGTCATCTCTCGTGAATGATGGTAGGAGCTTGTTGATTGTGTCACTTGTGTGGTCTGTTCTTTTAGTATTCCAAAGCAGTGTGTTAGTTTTTGGTGGGGTTGGCCATTTCAGTTTGGTTTAAAACATCCTTGTTTTGTTTGGTTTAGTTTTATTTGGTTTGGGATTTGTTTAGATTAATATAGTTTGGTAAAAGCAACACCATTCTAAAACAGAAATACATATTATTCGGGTTTGAATTGAGTTTTTCAAGTCAAATGGAATAAAAAATCAAAATGCCCACAACTAGTTTTCTTTGTTTCTGTTCTGGTTTGGGTAGGTTTAAAGGGTTCTGTTTGGGTTAAATTAGTATGGAAAAGAAAAGGTATAGTTGAAAGTATTAAAGTGTTTGAAAGAGTACAATTTAGGAAACATAGTTACAGGTCCGACCATCCAGTAGGAAACATAGTTGAATGAATCAAATGCTTTCCTAAAAAAAGAAGGGCAAAAATTCAAATGTCCCAACAAATAAGCTTTCATTTTCAAAGGAATTATATACAACGGCTGAAGAGGTGCTGGATGGCTGTAGGCTGATGCATTCCGTTATATGAAGTTCAACTTGCTTCTTTTTTTTCCGTTGGTGTCCTCCTGTCTTTAGAATCTCTCTAACTTTTAAGTTCACGTCTGCTATTCTTGCTAACACTCCACTGTTTCTCAACGCTATTTCTCTCAATTCTGAACTCTGCCTTCCTTTGAGAAAATGGAAGTAAGTACATGCTTTCTAATAGTTCTTGTTTTTTTGTTTACACACACCCATATATATTTTATGATTTTCAAGAGCTAAATCTGCTTTTGTGTTAGATAAAGGACTTTTCTTTACCCTGATTTTGAACTATTATTCTTTGTTTTCTTTAGTTGGAGGGAGGGTACTACTTGAATTCAATATCTATGATTCTTAGAATGATGAATCCTAAACTATTTAATTAGATTATATACATTCATTGAAAGTTAAAATGTATTAATATACAGTAAAGTACTTCAAAGAGTTAGTCATTGAATTTTCCATAAGGTCCAAACACGATTAGGATCTTATTAAAAAGAAGAAGAGAAAATCACACTTAAAAGTACCGTGTATGATCTTATTCTTCCTGTTGGTTAAACATCTTTTTTAGACATTTTATATATAATAAAAAGCAAAGCCTTAAACCCTATAGTAGTTTGTGCCTTTTATAAATACTAGCACAAGTTCTGTTTTAGTTTCTTCTTGTTGCTTATGTTCTTGACATAACTTCAAGTTTGATATAAATGTATTCAAAGTCAATTTTTTTTATGAATGGATCCCAAGAGCCAATAGTTATTTAATAGGATTTTGAATAATACTTAATCTTAGGTGCTCTGGTTGGTTCTTATAACAAATAGGTATTGTTAGTTGTTATAAAGATGTGACTTTTATAAGCGCTAATTCTCTGCTAATATTTGATTTTACATTGATTGTATCTCATATGACATAATTCTAATTATAGATTCCAACTCCTTGGTAATCCTTAGTTGCTTTCCTTTCTTATCTCATATGCTCGAATCTGTTATGAATACCGGCTTGTAATTAATCCTTGATTTCACTTTTCCTAGTATATGAGATACTCCAATATAGCATAATGAATCTTTATTTTCTTGCACCATTTTATTATTGACAGCAGTGTATAGCGGCAAACTGATGAATCACTATACTCTTTCGCTATAAAAATGCAGCAGTGGTTCTTTTTTAGCAGAGATTCTGGCTGGGAAGATCGAGGGAAGAGGCTGCTGAATCGTTCAAGGCAGTTCAAAGTGGACTACATGAGACTTTGTGTGGCTGTCCAGCACAAAGACTCTAGCAAACTGATTGCTGAATTCCGAAGTCTACGACAACAACAAATTTTCATCAACATCAAGAGTTGTTTGGGTTAGATCTATCCAAGTATATTACTTCTGTTTAGAACTTGGAATCCTTATTGCTATTCGGTATTTTTTTTAAATCGTTGGAATAAATTGCTACTCTTACTGTCTTTATTTATTTTTTTGAGTAGCTAAATTCTTAAGTCTTGGAAAAAAGAATTAACAACTAAAGGCAGTTAATCCTGGGATAAGTCTGAACATTCCATAGTTTTGTGTGTCCTCAAAAAACCAATCATCAGGGCGTGAGGTAGATGGGTCAAATGTGCAATCTTCTGTTGGAGCACACTCGATGCTGAAGGTAATATAACTTCTATGATATCATTTGTTTGTTCTGGAAATGGTTTTGAGCTCACTTGAGTTGCTGAAAGTGTTTCAGAAAATGTTCTGAAATCAATTGTTAATTAGTTATCATACATTTAGCATTGTACTCTGTAGCTTAGATGTGAATATGAGTTCTCATACTCATCAGTTGCTCAAATATAAATAATTGCAGTATAATATCGGTTTCTTTTTCAAAACAATATTTAGATGAGTCTTATTCTAAAAAACAAATGAACTGATTATATATAAATATATAACATGGGTGCTTAATTAGAGTGACTTTGGTCTGTTAGTTAACAATGTTGGAAAGGTGTTATGAGGTTGAAACATGCATGATGGTCGCATGGACGGCATGGTACTAGTTCAGTTTGAGTTTTAAGATATCACAACATCTGATCAGTGTATACTAATATAGTTATATTAGATTAATTTGTTTAGTTAAGATTTTCAGATTGCTAGTACTTAAAAAGATCTCACATCCATAACCAAACAAAATAATCCATGTTTTATATACGGACTATGATTCATCATTCATATGAAAATTAATTGTGTCCCTACCCTTTGAACGCTATAGATTATGGAATCAGTTTGCTGAAAAAAGTTGTTGAAATACTCCGTACGCTTTATCTCAATAATTGTAAATATAGCAGTTTTATTGTAAAGCTATGATGTTATTTTTCACTACTTCAACTTACAATGTTTTGAATTGTTTTGGTTGTAAAATCGATATGACCTAAAAACAAAGATAAACTTACAGGACACAATTTCTTTCATGCATATTTAGTCATTACAAAGAAAATACCAAATAAAGAAATACAAAATAATTTCTTTCATGCCTATTTAGTCTTATCTAGTTCATTCATTTATGGGGATTACTTTGATTTTCTGTTTTGATGGAGTTGCTTGCTTGCATTGCCCTGAGTGTACAGAACTAGTTGTGCCTATTGATCTGATTGAGCTCTTTATCTTTTTCTTTGGTTTGTTAATCCATTTCTTCTTCCTTGATTGAGTGTAGATTTTGATTGTAGTTTGATGATAATTTATGGTCACCTTAGATTATTGGATATGGATGCAAATATTTCCATTTCCATGAATTAGAGTTTTTTCCTTGCTTGATTATGTTCTATGAGAAAATATTTATGCAAAAGCATTATACTTTGTAGCTTAGATGTGAATATGAGTTCTCATACTCATCAGTTGCTCAAATATAAATAATTGCAGTATATTATTCATTTCTTTTTCAAAACAATATTTAAATGAGTCTTATTCTAAAAACAAATTAAATGAAGCGATTATATATAAATATATAACATGGGTGTTTAATTATTTGAAATATTTGTTTACAGGTGAGGGATTTGCATGAGGATGAAGATGGTATGGAATCAAATGATGAATGATGCATACCCATGACTGACTTGAGCTTCTCCTAGTAATAGTGATAAACAATCTTTTGCTTTGTGAACATGATGTTCAACATTTTGCTACTTAATTATCAAACTCATGTCTCTGTCAAAGAGTATTTAACATAGCTACTTTACATGCTTTTAACCAACTTAAGTTGTTTGGTTTGGTTTGTAATGGATTTGATGTTGGGGTCAACATTTGTTTCACTTTTGTATGTAATTATAATTAAATGGGCAGCTAGTTACATTCATTGTTATGGGGGCCTAAAAACATCATGGCTGCATGTGTGCAAATATATAAACTGTTACATTACATAACTAATCAGGGTCAATGTATTTTCAAAACTGTTACATTACATAATTAATCAGGGCCAACAAATTTTCAAAACCGTTACCACTGTGCATGTTACATACTGTTACATTTGTACTCGATTTGTTGTAACATTTATGGCATCTTGTGAGGACCATTACAATTGGTCATAAATTTCATTACAAGTCGTTACATTAGAGCAAATGCAACGCGAGCGAATGTAACGACGAGAAACTATTACAATAAGTCAAATGTAACAGTTTTTTGGACCAAATATATGTAATGAATTTCGCTGTAACAAAAGACCCGAAAATGTAGTAGTGTTAGTAACGAGAAGATCATAGGCGGAGCGGATTCTGAAACTCCCATCCTTCTCGGCACCCCAAACCAGAATATTATCCACCCCCTCTTTCGGAGGAGGGGGGGGGGGGGGGGGGGGGGGGAGGTATTCCCGCAACCTAAGCAACAACAGATTTTGGCAGCCAAAGATTAAGAAAATAAAAGTCTCATCCACTTGAAGTTGGCAACTGTAGCATCCAAATTCGACAAAGGTCCATCTGGCGAAAGGAAAACGGTCAACCCGATTCTTCGATCCACTTAGCAGTGTTGCCATGACAAAGTACTGTGTCCATCATGAATGCCTTCTCTCATTCCTAGGTCTACTTTAGGCATGGCCGCAACAATGCCTTGCCAAATCGGTGACTTAGAGAAAGAATGTCGAGAGTGGAAACTGTCAACATCCTCTTAGTGATACTTGCTCAAAGGAACCTGCACCCAAAGCTCCTTAGGTTGCGTAAGTAGAAGAAAGCCTAACTTAACCATACACGCTCGACCACCTTGGTTCTTGAGTTGTCAGATCTTCTCCCATGAGAGTAAGTGGGTATTTCGAACATCCGACGAGGACCCACGGGGCCCAGACAAATTTCTTGATGCAATTGTCAATCTCATTGCAAATATAACTAGACATCACAGTAGCTTGCATCATACTATCTCATGGGTGCTTAATTATTTGAAATATTTGTTTACATGGGGTGCTTAATTATTTGACGAGGGCCCCCGGGGCCCATTACAATCAGCTTTCATATACCATCTTCGTTACTCGATTAGTTATATATTTGACGAGGACCCTCGGGGCCCAGACAAATTTAAGATGCAATTGTCAATCTCATTGCAAATATAACTAGACATCACAATAGCTTGCATATAACTAGACATCTCTTGTGAGTACAAGAAGGAATATGTGAGAGAATAGATTGGGACAGAGTACCTCTATCAACCAATATAATGCTAATGAAGAAGCTTTCCATCCTGGAAGCTTTTGATCCATTCTGCCAAGAACGTCCTGATACGTCGAGTTGGAAATGCATTCATGAAGAACCAGGACCCCTAGATAACGATCAAGATTTTGGGTTACGGGAATGCCAAGCTTGCCCGCCACCTCCCTTGACACATCTCGAGGCACCATTTTGAAAAAAGAAGATGACAGATCTCTCCTTACTGATCATCTTGTCAGACGCCCCACAAAACCTGTTTGAATAATCGAGAACCACATCGACCTATAATACTAACTTGATTTTCTAATTTACAAATAATACTTTTGTTCATCACTTTTATATATTTAAACAATATTTTAAGGAGTGCACTTATTATATTATAAACACTCGAATTATATACATAGTATGTTCTTTCAGACAAAAGAACACTCAAATTATGTAATGAGAAGCAAACAAAAAATTAAATCTCACTCTATATAGAGAGAGTTAGCTAGGGAAATGATGGTTTGATATATATATATATATATAGAGCCCGTCTGATGCACATTTTGACTTTGCTCCAAACAAGCCAATATAAATAATAACAGTGGCATTTTGGTAAATAATATAAATATTACCCTCATTGTGCATCACATCAGGGTAAATGTGTTGTTCTCACGTTCTCACGTTAAGCCTTGTTCTCATTTGATCTTTAATATATATATATATATATATATATATATATATATATATATATATATATATATATATATATATATATATATATATATATATATATATATATATATATATATGACCTCCATCTAAATTAGTTATCTCGTTTATTAATATTCAATTCTATGGTGTATCCAACATGCTTTTAATTTTCTGACTTTACGTAGTTTTTTTGTCACATTGAAAATGAGCATTTGTTTGTAAATAGTATTTTTAATTAGTATTGTTTTTCATATATACAGTTTGGATAAAATGAAAAGGGGTTAACGTGTAAATGAGAATTAATCCGAGTCGTTGAATTTTTCGATCTGATGCATAATCGTCCTTATCGAATGCACCGATGTGCATTAAACCGTATCTGATGCACTTTTCGGTGTAAATTATATAAATATAGGCATATAGCCAAACGATTTTGTTATATATTGGTGTATATCTAATTCTTAATCTTTTATATACATAGATTACATAATTACATCAAATGATTAAAATTATCACACAATATTAGACAAAATTTTGTGTACCCTCGAAGGGTTCAAGATATCGCATCGCACCAACTCGTATCAATCAATATATCACAATTGTGTAATTCATTAGCGGAGTACTATAACAACCACCTTAATGACTATCTATTACTCCATCCGTTTCTAAAACAAGTTCCCCATTGCTTTTCATAGTAAGAAAAAAAAATTATTGAAAGTAAACTTTACTGTTTTGACACTGTTGGAGCACTGTTTGACACTATTTTACACTGTTTGACACTGTTTTGATGTAGTTAATTGACCAAATAAGGAAAGACGAACTTAATTTGGGAAATACCCAAAAAGAAAATGAGAAACTTGTTTAAGAAACGGAGGGAGTATTAAAAAACAGTGGCACACAATTGGAACGTAACATGAAAGCACGAGTTAGATCGAAATCATGATAGAAGAATACACAAATGCAACGGTCAACATTTCACACATGCTGAGACACAAATTTGACCATTAATATAAATGATTTTGTATTAGTAAAAAAATTAAAAAAATTAGATTATGAAAATTTACAATGAGACAAGTTTAACAATATTTTTTTCATAAAATAATATTATTACATTAATAAATAAAACGTAGTCAAAGTAGAACATGTGAATAATGTAAAAGTCAAAGTGTCGCATTTATTTAAGAACGTAGGTAGTATAAGATAATCATACATATTTATTACTCCCTTCGTTTCACAATCTTTGACACACATTCTTTTTTTGACTATTTCACAATCAATGACACACTTCCTTATTTCTTTATTTGGTAAACAAATCTTTACCAAAACAGTGCAAAACAATGTCAAACAGTGCCAAACAGTGTACTCTACAGTACAATTTATACATCAGTAACATTTTTTTCTTAATTCTTGACAAGTCAAACTGTATAAAAGATTGTGAAACAGAGGGAGTAGTAGTTTATAGTTGAATAAATAGTACTCCGTATGATAAAAAAAGTAACTAATGCAAGTAAATAAAGAAAATATATAAGACGCTAAACATATGATTGTGTTGGCATTAATTAATACTCCGTAGAAAGCAATGTATAGAATTGGGTTACGTTTGTCTTATCTTTTGTACATAGACGGCGACATTGCATGAGTTTGAGGTCTTTCATAATTGGGCCAGGGAAAAGAACAAAAGGCTAATTAAGGGTATGTATACAAAAGCTTAAAAAAGGCTCATTTTTTGGCTTAAAAACCTAAAATTAGTGTTCTTAAGTGACAACGTCTACTTAAAAAAACGTCTCTCGACTTCTGACTGAAAAATATTTTTTACTTTTTCTATTACATATAAAGCACATATTTTACCAAACAGCAGAAATTTTTACTTTTCAAAATCAATTTTATCTCAAACATTATCAACTTTTACTACTAATCATTTCAATTTTTTTTTTAAAGCAAAAGCATTTGCAAACACCGTCTAAGTCTGGATCAATGTCATTCAGTGTCGCCCAACTAACTGGTAGCTCCCACCGCATATATACGACCTAGTACGTAGTATATGACAACTTTGTTTCGTTCAACCTCTATATGATGACACAATTTTATACGAAGAATGAATTCGTTTGGTAATATTGAAATTAGAAGAATCGATTGAAATTTTTAAACATGATAATTTTTAATCCATATCATCGTTGCAAACGTAATAAGAGACAGTGGAAGTCAGAAATTAAAACCAAAACTACATATGCGCTAAAAGAATTACTGGACTGCGTAGTGGAATTTTGGCAAAGACACAGTTAAGGATTCTTAGCCGGAAATATCAACGATACGGCGAGAAACATTTAAAATGAGTTATAGTACCAATCTCTTTCACTTATTTAAAAGTTAATGTGCCAAAATGCAACAATGTTAATATTTAATTAAGATATCATTTATACGTTTTTTCCTAAATGAGCTCGTGAAGAGGTCACGAGTTCAATGAAAGAAAGTTTTACTAAAACTTTTATGTATTTAGCAAAACGTATGACATGTAGGCTTGTAGCCCCATATTAAACTAAACATGTGTAATTACTCTAAATAGGAGTAAAACTATGACAAAAATTCAAAATATGACTTGTTATGTTTTTATTCCAAAATAGGATCATATTACTCCTATTGAGAACATATCTATTTTTTCATTCCATTGTTACCCTTCTTTAAATATGAGTAAAGGTAGTCAAAAATCATAACTAAATGTTTAATTCATTATAAATTTGAAAAAATTTAAAAGAATCATAGAAAAATTATAAAAAATTAATAAAATAGTTATAAAATACAATTTTGTTTTTAATTGTTTTTTTTAATTAATAAAAAATTGTAAAAAAATTTAAAAAAATATGGATGCTTTTCACACTGCCTCTGATGCCATCTTTTCTGAAAATGTCAAACAAATGGCATATTACTCTTTGAGAATTCCAAAATTTTCATTGAATCTACCACAAATATGGCATTCATAATGCATGTGGCATTTTTTCCATGGTGAACGGAGATGGTGGTGCTGGGGCGGTAGAGGTGACTTTTTTTTAGCGTTTTTTATTTTTTTAAAAAAACAATTTTTTTATTTTTTATTTTTTAAATTATATGCTTTTCCCACCGCTTGTACTGCCTCCCTGCACCACCACCTTCGACCTGTGTAAAAAATCCATTTTTTCTAAAAACAACCATTTTTTTATGAAAATGCTAAAAAAAATGGTATATTACTCTTTGAGAATGTCAAATTTTCACTGAATCTGCCATAAACATGGCATTCTTAATGGATGTGACATTTTCCCCCTGGTGACTGGAGGTGGTGGTGCTGGGGCGGTAGAGGCGGTGGTATTTTTTGCGTTTTTTTAATGTTTTACAATTTTTTAATTATTACGGAATATTATTATTATATTTTTATTAATTTTTTAGTATTTTTTACGAATTTTTATTATTTTTCATTAATTCATTATGAATTAAAATATTTCAATTTGTGCAAAGTGACCAACTTTTAGTCCTATTTTGACAATTAACCCTTGTTTATTACTCCCTCCGATCCCGAATCAAATTCACACTTTCCTTTTTGGGTAGGTCCAAAATAAACTTCACACTTCTTCTCCCTTTCTTATTTGGCAAATTATATACATCAAAACAGTGTCAAATAGTGCAAACAGTGTCACAACAGTGTACTCTACAGTAAAGTCAAATTTATTTCCTTTGTTCCAAAAGGTGGAATCTCCCACCCCAGGAGCCCCCCCACCTCGACCCGACAGGATGGTGGGGAGGTTAGTCACGGTGACTCAGTCAGCAGAATGGCAGTAGGCTCATACACCCGTGCGCACCAGAGGCCCAGTCTTATTTCAGGTTCTGTGATCTCCACCCGGTCGCTGCGGGGATTCGAATCTTGGTCCATTGTTCTAAATCTCTCACCACTCGACCAACTGAGCTACCCGTGCGGGTTAAATTCAAATTTATTTCCTTAATTTGTATGAAGTCAAACACTGAATTTGTTTTGGGACCGGAGAGAGTAGTAAAAATGTGTTTGTTATGTTTACCTTTTATTTGAGTATCTACTTGTAATAATAGTTATAAATATCATCATCACATAACAAATTTGAAATGAAAATTGAATATTTTTACTTTATAACCAAAAATTGTTATAATAACATGAAAATAGTGGTATGATTTTTGGAGGAGATACAATTATCAAAAAATGTTTTTTATGAGGGTGCACTTTACTTTCACCACGTACTTATTAAAGATGGCACCTATGCCGTCATTATACATTTTTAACTTCGGAAGCTGTAGTGAGGAATCATGACGGGATATTTCCTGTCACAGATCGAAAGTTTTTTATGATGTGATTTGAATTTTTAATCACATTAAATCCTTTCATTACTCACAAAGTTTCTTGTAGTGGTATTCACGCCTAGCTTGACAATGCATGCATGCACTCTAAGAGAAGTGGTTAAACAAACGATTTACGAGCGTTCCGTTTTATAAGTACGTACGTATAAAAAACAAGGTACATCATTTTTAATTTTCAAATAGTTGAGAACTCCGGTATCCATTTAAAAAATGTGGTAACATATCCAGGGTCGGTCCTGAGGAAATGAAGGTCCTGTGCAAAAAAATAATTGGGCCTTCTTTTCAAAGTTTCAACACAAGTTAAAAAAATCTAACCGAAACCGCACCGACTCAAACGAGACCCGAAAGTCGGGACTCGAACATAAACCAGTTTAATGAAGGTTTTTTTGAGTTATAAAATCGGTTCAAACCGAACCGAACCGATTTTTATTAAGAGGTATTTTAATTATTTATTTTGTAGAATGAATAGGTAATATAAAACTTGTACGTCCGTATTTCAACAATTAGTTGATTTGGTCCGGTGGTTGATGTTTAGAAATCAGCGTGCATGCTTTTATTTTCACCTGGGTTCAAATCCCGCATGTCTCGCTTCTTTTCTTTTTTGTTTCTAAAGCTTAAGATTCTCACAACGGTGGAAACGGAGAATTTACTACTCCTTCGTTCCTATATACACGCTCCTCCTTTGCAGATGAGGAATACACGAAGTGACGAACCATGCTTGCTTCAAAGCCTCGCCCTAGTCCACCTAAGTAATAATACTCCCTCCGTCCCGTTATGTAACACCGACCCCGAGTATATTTACTTTTAGTAAATTATGTAATAAACCTTGAAGGATGATTTAAGAAATTGCGTGATTGTAAATTTTTACTATTTCTTTTACGTGAATAGTAAATTGCATGTGGGGCCCACAGCGGGACCGGGGACCGCCCGATAATTCTTGAACCACATATCATATTCATCTCGGTCTAGATAATATGTATATGGTGGTGGATATTTTATTTGGGCCATAAGAAAGGCATGGAGTTGACCGGTTGGTCAAACGGGGCCCAATTACCAGTATTGGTAATTTAGCGGATAACAGCCCGAAATGAGTTTCGGGGACTCCTAAATTAATGTTGGGGAATGTACATCGTTTCTAAAGGTCCATAATTATTAGGAACGCGTGATATATTTTATTTGGCCCGATAAAATAAAATATAATTAAAACGGACCGAGAAATACAACTTTCGGGGCCGATTGTACACACCGGGACATAATGGGATGACCTCCCACCTAAGTGGGGGCCACCCCACGTTTTTAGGTGTGTTAGCTGACTAAATAATAGTTGGGGGGACAAGCCAAAGTGGCTTGTGCGGACAAGAAGAGGGGAGGAAGTCTCATTGAGACAAAACCTCATGCCAATGCCTATTCTAGGCATTATTGGCATTCTTGATTGAGGAGAAACCATTCCCCTTATCCTCTTGCATTCCATACGACCAACCACTAAGAGAGAGAGCTCTAGGAAAGCTCCTCAAAGAGCTGAAGCTAGGAGAGAGCAAGAAAGGAAGAATCCCCACACAAAAGGGCTAGAAATCAAGGTAAGAACTCAAATAGTTCTTTTAACTAGTTTATTTGTGTATGATTTATAATAAATCATATGGTGGGTTAAACATGATGTTCTACACGTTTAAAAGTGTAGAATATTGATATAGAATGGTGGTATTTAACTTAGAAAAGTTGTGGAATCGATAGGAGTCGAAACCGCCGGGAAACCGCCATTGTTGGGGACTGTTTTCGAGCTGCAGGCCCGAAAGCCGCCCACCTTTCACGAAAGCCGCCCGGCTTGCACTTGATTTCCAGATTTTTCGCTCTTGAATGGCCTAGAACGAGGACGGATCGAGGGGGTTCCGCTAGGGCAGCTAGTTGAGCACATCACAAGGTGAGGATGGCTGACTATATTGCTTATAATTAGTGAGTTAATTTCATGAGATTACCGAAGGTAATTAAATGTGTTTTTATGGATTATTAATGATTAATAATGCCTAAAAATGAAAAGACTAAATGTCCAGAGAAAAAAGAGCATGATATACAAATTTAAGAATAAATTGTGTATGTTCATGTGTTATGACTATGTTGACTTGAAAGTGGAATTTATTATGAAACATGTGTTGAAATATACTTTTCTTCATATTAGAATATATGAGTGATTAAAAGTGATATTTCGGATATTGAGATAAATGATGTTTTCAAAGGAAAATCTGTTGGGATTGTCTATATGAGTATGAGTAGAGAACTTGGTTTGTTGATATTAATTTGACTAGTATTAAGATGCTAGTTGGACATTAAAATGAAATGTTGCTAAGATTGATCCTAAGGTTGGATTGTGAAATATTATTCCTTAAGTAGTCTTAAGAGATGCTTTAAGGTAGGAAAGTATGAACTTTAAGTTATACTAGGGGTAGGCATTAAGGGATACCCAAGATAGTGTAAATATTAAATTGATCCTAAGTATAGGATTGGCCTACGAGTGTGATCGGTGATTCTTGTGGATAGCCGGTTGAATTATGGAAATAGTAAGGACCATGGCCCTTCCCGACTCTAGAGAGCGGGGTTGGATAGCATGGACTTACATCATGATCACGGGTTAGGGTGGAATCCGAATCGGAGACCTAACTAGGTTCCGGTAGCGGTAACACATAAGATAGGACCATGAAGGGCCTTACCTTCCTACGGGATGATGGGTACGAGTCCAGGGGCGGGATGTTGGAGTCCGAACCGGGAGCCTCATGAGGTCTCGGACAGCGGTAGCAAGTCCCGTAGAAATAATAAGACCCAAGGGTTGGGTTGTGCAAATGATAAATGAAAAGGAACATATAAGAAGGGCCGTGTGCCGACAAATGAATAAATTCACTTATTATAAAGATAATAAGTGGGAAATATAAATTGTTATTTATATTATGATATCACTCTATTTTGAGGGTCTTGGAAATTAAAACGTTGATTATACTTAGTATAGTTGCTATTGTACTTGTCAAATATTTCCAAGTACTGACCTCCCCTTCACGAGGGAGGCCACCTCACAGTTTCAGGTAGAACTTGAATGTTGCTACCGGTGCCCGTTGCTTCGGGGATATTCAAGGGAGAAGACGTGGTTCGTGCTTCTTCTGTTTCCTGTTTTCAAAATAATTATAACAATGCTCATGGATATTATTTTTGAACAATTACTTTGGGGGCTTGTATGCCTAGTTATGCCAAGTGTGGCTTGAACAATTGTATTAATGCTTCCGCTGTTTTAAATGAATGTTTTACATTATGTTTGTTATGGATGTACTATGTGTGAATGATATTCATGACGCTTTGTATAGTATGAATGAGTTGGACTGCGGTTGACTATTCGTACTGTACGGCGGGTTATCGACGAGTCCGGCTAGGTCCGGGGCGTGACAATTTAATTGGTATCAGAGCCTTAGTCCGTAAACATCATAATGAAGCTTCAAAATTCTTTTGAAAATGAAATTGAAAACCATGAGCATAAAGTTTTGCACTTATAGAACTTTTGGTACTTGAGTTGCAATGTCTCTAATTGTTAAGATGGTACCCTTAGCAATTGGTATGGCGGTGATTTGAGCCAAAAGATGTCTTTAAGTGCCTATCCGTCAATTGACATTTGATACGAGTCTAATGACTCATTCTAAATTTCTTTCAGAAATGGAACGTACCGGGAAAGTTACTCGACGGAACTCGACTGGCCAGGCACCGGGAGGATCCCAACGTGGCAGCTGGGGAGGGTCGAGGGTGTCTCGGGGACAGGGCCGTGCAGGCCACTCACTGACGGTGAGTGACGGTCATGTGGAGACGTATGATGAGCAATATGAGTCCGAGGAGGATTCAACTTACCAACCGGGAACTGAACCGGTGGAAACCCCATATGACGGGGAAGATGATGTGAGCGAAGAGAGCGACGATAATGACGCTCTTGAAAGAATAGAGGAACTACTCCGACAGTACCACCAAGATCGCCAAAGGCGCCGAGCAAGGCGTGCTTTGGAAGGGGCTTCAAGAAGAGGAAGCCGTGTGACTCCTAGGGAGATCATAGAACCCCGAGGAGGGGGAGGTGCTGAGGTCCCTATAATAAGGATCTCAAAGTACCTCAAGGAGGCAAGAGACTTGGGATGTAAACCGTTTGATGGAATGGGGGACATCTCCGTGGCGGCCGAGTGGATCAAAAGATTCAACGAGGCGGCCCTCGACATGCAACTACCACCCCACATGAAGCTGAGAGTAGCCACGAGGCTACTAGAAGGCATGGCATCCACGTGGTGGGATGGAACAAAAGGGAAGTACGGCGAGGCCGTCACTTGGGAGAATTTCAGACATGAGTTCTTCAGCCAATACTACTCCGACTTCGAGGTGAACTTGAAGAGGAGGGAGTACACGAATCTGACCCAAGGAGGTGAATGTACTGTGAAGGAACTTGAGCACAAATTCAGAAAGCTTGCTGAGTTCATACCGAAGTACATTTGTGATGAAAACCGGATGGTGAACCACTTCTGGGATGCCTTGGACCTTGACATACGCGAGAGGGAAACACAATTGCCTAATATGACGTTTAGTCAAGTGGTTGAACAAGGCTTGAAGGGGGAGAAAGAGTGGGAGGAAAGGAAACGAAGGAATGCCGAGGAGGCAAAGAAAAGAAAATGGGAGAACCATGGCCCTCAAGGTTCCAACAAGAAGGGGAACCATGGGGGAGGCGGATCCTTCAAAACCCCTGCACCACCGGTAAGGGGAAATCAAGGCCCGAGCGGGCAAAGCTCTGTGTCACAAGGCTCAGGCGTGAAGAAGTGCAGCAACTGCAAGAAGAACCACTTTGGCAAGTGCCGCGATCCCCCGAGGTGCTATCAATGCGGGGAGGTCGGGCATTTGAAGGTGAGTTGCCCACAACTTGGGCGAGCTATGGGGGCCGGACCAAGTAGTGCAACGACGGTGAGCAGGAACCGAACCGGAGCACCAAATGCTAGCGGTGGGCACGGTGGGGCGAGTGCAAGCAACGCGCCATCCGTAAATCAAGGAAGGACCCAAGCTCGGGTCTATGCTATGACGGAGGCGGATGCTCGTGCCAACCCGGACTCCGTTGCGGGTAATTCCTTAAACCCACTTATTAGTCTATTATAAAAAGTAGGAGTGTGGAACTTGTAAATTTATAACCCCGACGAGTTTGGTCGGGTTTGAAGGGAAAAAGGGGAGGAGAATCCTCGCCCTGGGCGAAAACCGCCCGGCTTTGACGAAAGCCGCCCGACTTTCGTCTTGATTTAATTGGAATAATACCACGGCAACGAATGCCGGCCGGCTTCCACCGAGAACCGCCCGGCTTTCGTCGTGATTAAATCAAAAATTTCTCGCAGCTGAAAGCCGCCCGGCTTTCATGGAAGCCACCCGGCTTTCGTTAAGCCTGGGGATTCCTGCGCTGCTGAAACCCGGCCGGGTTTCGTAGAAACCGGCCAACCTTCGAAACCATTCCACGAATAAAACCACGGCGACGAAAACCGGCCGGCTTTCGTGAAAGCCGCCAATCTTTCGTGATATTATTCTGGGAATTTTTCTCGCAGACGAAACCCGGACGGCTTTCGTGAAAAGCGGCCGGCTTTCACCTGGATTGGTCCTAAAACGGTCCTAAAGGTTAGAACCCGGGAAATTTAGGAAGGGTATCGAACGGACCCCACCCGAAACACAACCAACATACTCTACGAATTAACAAACGAACCTATTAATTAGATAGTGTGTCTTACATTACTTATGAATGTAGGAACACTAAAGATAAACGGGAGAGACGCAAGAATCCTTATTGATACCGGGGCGCAACGATCATTTGTGAGTGAGGCGTTCGCCAGAGGATTCAACGGACCACTTGTACCGATGACTCAAACCCTATTGGTGTCCACGCCTCTAGGGGATGATATCGAAAGGAATAGCCACTATCCATCGTGTGAGGTGGAAGTGGAGGGCCAAACCTTGACGTGTGACTTCGTACCGCTGAGCATGATCGAGTTCGACGCGATCCTCGGGATGGATTGGCTAGAGAAACATCATGCTAGGGTTGATTGTTATACGAAGGTTCTTGAACTCGAAGATGGTGAAGGCTTGACCTTACGTTTCGAGGGAGATAGAGGCAAATCAAACAATTGTATCATATCCGCCGTGAGAGCGAGGAATATGATGAGAAAAGGATGCCACGCATATCTAGCTTACGTGGTGGACAAAACCAAAGAAGAAGTAGACATCAATGATGTGAGAATAGTGTGCAAGTATCCGGATGTCTTCCCAAAAGACTTGCCGGGGCTTCCACCCGATAGGGAGATTGAATTCGTGATCGAGGTCGAACCCGGCACCAAACCAATCTCTATACCGCCATACAGAATGGCACCCGCTGACCTTAACGAGTTGAAAACCCAATTGCAAGAGCTATTGGATAACGGTTTCATAAGGCCGAGTCACTCTCCGTGGGGAGCACCGGTCCTTTTCGTGAAGAAGAAAGATGGAACACTTCGAATGTGTATTGACTATCGTCAACTGAACAAGGTCACAATCAAGAATAGGTATCCCTTGCCTAGGATTGATGACTTGTTTGATCAGTTCCGGGGAGCGACGGTGTTTTCGAAGATTGACTTGAGGTCGGGGTACCACCAACTGAAAATAAAGGAGGATGACATACCGAAGAGTGCATTCCGCACAAGGTATCGTCATTTCGAGTTCCTAGTTATGTCGTTCGGGCTAACCAACGCCCCAGCGGCATTTATGGACTTGATGAACCGGGTATTTCATGAATACTTGGACCGGTTTGTGATTGTGTTCATAGATGATATCTTGATTTACTCGAAGAGTGAAGAAGAGCATGAGGAGCACTTGATACTTGTTCTTGAGACACTACGGGAGAAGCAACTCTATGCCAAGTTTTCCAAATGTGAATTTTGGCTAAGGGAGATTGGCTTTCTCGGGCATGTGGTTTCGGGATCAGGGATTGCCGTAGATAACAAGAAGATTGAGGCCATTACTGAATGGGAGAGGCCAAAGAACGTCAAGGAAATTCGTAGTTTCCTTGGATTGGCAGGGTACTACCGAAAATTTGTGGAGAAGTTCTCAGTTTTGGCATCGCCATTGACAAAGCTCACTCGAAAGGGGGCCAAGTTTGTATGGGATGACCGATGTGAGAAGGGATTCCTTGAACTGAAGAAGAGGTTGACCGAGGCACCGGTACTCTCACTACCCAAACAGGGTGTGGGGTACGATGTCTACAACGACGCAAACATCCAAGGGCTTGGATGTGTCTTGATGCAGAATGGGAGGGTGATTGCCTATGCTTCACGACAGTTGAAGAAGCATGAGGTAAATTATCCCACTCATGACTTAGAACTGGGGGCGGTGGTGTTCGCATTGAAGATTTGGAGACATTATCTCTACGGGGAAACATGTCATATATACACCGACCACAAAAGCCTGAAGTATGTGTTTACTCAGAAAGAGTTAAACATGAGACAGAGACGGTGGATGGAGTTGATAAAAGACTACCACCTAGTTATCGAGTACCACCCCGGTAAAGCCAACGTGGTAGCAAATGCCTTGAGCCGAAAGAATTCATCTGGGGCATTATTGACTAGCTTGAGGGCATTGAGAGCCCAATTGGAGGTATCTAGCGATGGTGCCTTGTTAGCTAGATTCGAGGTGAGACCTACATTACTTGATGAAATCAAGAAGGGTCAAGAAACCGACGAAGAACTTGTGAAGATCCGTGAACGCATGCTAGCGGGACCGGTTGAGGATTTCAGGGAGAGAGACGACGGTCTCTTATTATTTCGTGACCGAGTGTGTGTACCGTTGGATGATGAGCTCCGAAAGTCCATCTTAGAGGAGGCTCATTCATCGGCGTATGCCATGCACCCGGGAGGCACGAAGATGTACCGTGATCTGAAGGAAAGTTACTGGTGGTCGGGTATGAAGAGGGAAATAGCCGAGTACATCAGTAGGTGTCTTACTTGTCAGCAAGTTAAGGCAGAACATCAGCATCCGGCTGGGTTACTACAGCCACTTTCCATTCCTGAATGGAAGTGGGAGCACGTGACTATGGATTTCGTGGTGGGGCTGCCATGAACGGTTAAGAACTATGATGCCGTATGGGTTGTGGTCGATAGGCTCACAAAGAGTGCACACTTTCTACCTATCAACACTACCTATGCACTGGAGAGGTTAGCCAAGTTATATGTGGACGAGATCGTGAGGCTACATGGGGTTCCTATAACCATTGTATCCGATAGAGATCCGCGATTCACATCACGATTTTGGCCGAAATTCCAAGAATCTATGGGGACAAAGTTGAAATTCAGTACAACTTTTCATCCACAAACGGATGGGCAATCTGAGCGGGTTATACAGATATTAGAGGATATGCTGAGAGCCTGTGCATTGGAGTTCCAAGGGAGTTGGGACAACCATTTATCACTTGTGGAGTTTGCCTATAACAACAGTTATCAGGCAAGTATAGGCATGCCTCCATACGAGGCATTGTATGGGAGGAGATGTCGTACACCGTTGTGTTGGGATGAGGTTGGCATGGCCAAACTCGAGAGCACGGAATTGGTAGAGATCAGCAAGTCTAAGGTGAAGATGATTCGTGAGAGACTTAAGGAGGCCCAGGATAGACAGAAAAGTTTTGCCGATAAGCGCCGAAGAGCCTTGGAGTTTAAGGTGGGAGATGAAGTATTTTTGAAAGTTTCACCTTGGAAGGGAATCATCCGATTTCAGAGCCGAGGGAAACTTAACCCACGATACATAGGGCCATTCGTGGTTCTTGAGAGGATTGGGGCCGTGGCATACCGATTACAGTTGACTCCAGAATTGAAGAAGATACATAACGTATTCCATGTGTCTGTGCTTAAGAAGTATATGCCGGATCCATCTCATGTATTAGAAAAACCACCCGTGGAAATACGGGAAGACTTGAATTATGCCGTGCAACCGGTGAGAATACTTGACAGGCAAGTCAAGAAATTGAGAAGCAAGAAAGTTCCAATGGTTAAAGTTCTTTGGAAAAGTGACCGAGTCGAGGAGGAAACTTGGGAAACGGAAGCTTTGATGAAAGAGCAATACGCGTTTTTGTTTGAATGAGCATTGTGAATTTCGGGGACGAAATTCCCGTTAAGGGGGGGTGAACTTGTAACACCGACCCCGAGCATATTTACTTTTAGTAAATTATGTAATAAACCTTGAAGGATGATTTAAGAAATTGCGTGATTGTAAATTTTTACTATTTCTTTTACGTGAATAGTAAATTGCATGTGGGGCCCACAGCGGGACCGGGGACCGCCCGATAATTCTTGAACCACATATCATATTCATCTCGGTCTAGATAATATGTATATGGTGGTGGATATTTTATTTGGACCATAAGAAAGGCATGGAGTTGACCGGTTGGTCAAACGGGGCCCAATTACCAGTATTGGTAATTTAGCGGATAACAGCCCGAAATGAGTTTCGGGGACTCCTAAATTAATGTTGGGGAATGTACATCGTTTCTAAAGGTCCATAATTATTAGGAACGCGTGATATATTTTATTTGGCCCGATAAAATAAAATATAATTAAAACGGACCGAGAAATACAACTTTCGGGGCCGATTGTACACACCGGGACATAACGGGATGACCTCCCACCTAAGTGGGGGCCACCCCACGTTTTTAGGTGTGTTATCTGACTAAATAATAGTTGGGGGGACAAGCCAAAGTGGCTTGTGCGGACAAAAAGAGGGGAGGAAGTCTCATTGTGACAAAACCTCATGCCAATGCCTATTCTAGGCATTATTGGCACTCTTGATTGAGGAGAAACCATTCCCCTTATCCTCTTGCATTCCATACGACCAACCACTAAGAGAGAGAGCTCTAGGAAAGCTCCTCACAGAGCTGAAGCTAGGAGAGAGCAAGAAAGGAAGAATCCCCACACAAAAGGGCTAGAAATCAAGGTAAGAACTCAAATAGTTCTTTTAACTAGTTTATTTGTGTATGATTTATAATAAATCATATGGTGGGTTAAACATGATGTTCTACACGTTTAAAAGTGTAGAATATTGATATAGAATGGTGGTATTTAACTTAGAAAAGTTGTGGAATCGATAGGAGTCGAAACCGCCGGGAAACCGCCATTGTTGGGGACTGTTTTCGAGCTGCAGGCCCGAAAGCCGCCCACCTTTCACGAAAGCCGCCCGACTTTCACTTGATTTCCAGATTTTTCACTCTTGAACGGCCTAGAACGAGGACGGATCGAGGGGGTTCCGCTAGGGCAGCTAGTTGAGCACATCACAAGGTGAGGATGGCTGACTCTATTGCTTATAATTAGTGAGTTAATTTCATGAGATTACCGAAGGTAATTAAATGTGTTTTTATGGATTATTAATGATTAATAATGCCTAAAAATGAAAAGACTAAATGTCCAGAGAAAAATGAGCATGATATACAAATTTAAGAATAAATTGTGTATGTTCATGTGTTATGACTATGTTGACTTGAAAGTGGAATTTATTATGAAACATGTGTTGAAATATACTTTTCTTCATATTAGAATATATGAGTGATTAAAAGTGATATTTCGGATATTGAGATAAATGATGTTTTCAAAGAAAAATCTGCTGGGATTATTGTCTATATGACTATGAGTAGAGAACTTGGTTTGTTGATATTAATTTGACTAGTATTAAGATGCTAGTTGGACATTAAAATGAAATGTTGCTAAGATTGATCCTAAGGTTGGATTGTGAAATATTATGCCTTAAGTAGTCTTAAGAGATGCTTTAAGGTAGGAAAGTATGAACTTTAAGTTATACTAGGGGTAGGCCTTAAGGGATACCCAAGATAGTGTAAATATTAAATTGATCCTAAGTATAGGATTGGCCTACGGGTGTGATCGGTGATTCTTGTGGATAACCGGTTGAATTATGGAAATAGTAAGGACCATGGCCCTTCCCGACTCTAGAGAGCGGGGTTGGATAGCATGGACTTACATCATGATCACGGGTTAGGGTGGAATCCGAATCGGAGACCTAACTAGGTTCCGGTAGCGGTAACACATAAGATAGGACCATGAAGGGCCTTACCTTCCTACGGGATGATGGGTACGAGTCCAGGGGCGGGATGTTGGAGTCCGAACCGGGAGCCTCATGAGGTCTCGGACAGCGGTAGCAAGTCCCGTAGAAATAATAAGACCCAAGGGTTGGGTTGTGCAAATGATAAATGAAAAGGAACATATAAGAAGGGCCGTGTGCCGACAAATGAATAAATTCACTTATTATAAAGATAATAAGTGGGAAATATAAATTGTTATTTATATTATGATATCACTCTATTTTGAGGGTCTTGGAAATTAAAACGTTGATTATACTTAGTATAGTTGCTATTGTACTTGTCAAATATTTCCAAGTACTGACCTCCCCTTCACGGGGGAGGCCACCTTACAGTTTCAGGTAGAACTTGAAGGTTGCTACCGGTGCCCGTTGCTTCGGGGATATTCAAGGGAGAAGACGTGGTTCGTGCTTCTTCTGTTTCCTGTTTTCAAAATAATTATAACAATGCTCATGGATATTATTTTTGAACAATTACTTTGGGGGCTTGTATACCTAGTTATGCCAAGTGTGGCTTGAACAATTGTATTAATGCTTCCGCTGTTGTAAATGAATGTTTTACATTATGTTTGTTATGGATGTACTATGTGTGAATGATATTCATGACGCTTTGTATAGTATGGATGAATTGGACTGCGGTTGACTATTCGTACTGTACGGCGGATTGTCGACGAGTCCGGCTAGGTCCGGGGCGTGACACGTTAACATTGGGACAAGAGGGAGTGACACCCAAATTAATAAAAAGTGGTTTATGTGGTTGATATTGAGTTGATAAAGTAAGAATGATTTAGAGCCACACAAACTTTACCAAATTTGGTATGAGACAATCTTAATGGCACGAACCGATAAGGTAAAATGGGACAATCATAACGGGACGGAGGTAGTAGTATACTACTACAAAAAAAATTGGGCCCTTCCAATTTTTTGGGCCCTGTGCGGTTGGACACCCTGCACACCACCAGGGCCGGCCCTGAACATACCTATCATTCACTTGATTGGTTCAAATAGGTATATCATTTTTAATTTGGATTTAAATAATTCCACTGCAACGTTTTTTATTGGTTCATGTGAACAAAGATATGGTACCTTATGATAGTATAGAATCTACCAAAGAACAAAGGCCACGTAAGTAAGTACGTGGTTGTAGGAAGTAGTAGCTAGAAACGCAGTAAATGATGGATGGGGATGTATCGATCCAATTCAATTCAGAATTGACGAACGTAATTAAGCCTGCAGCTAGCGTCACTAAACTAATTAATTATATATTAATAAAGGGAATTGATGAATCAATATAATATAATAATAAAGTATACTACATTTACTCAAGATTTTGGCCGCATGCATGCTGGCAGGAAGCGCCATATCGTAGCTACGTACTGATGAGTGAATCTCCGAAAATCTATAAATATTTAAAGACTCTGATCGGGATGCATGCATTTATGATGCTGGGATTTAATGTTAATTTAATTTGGAAGGAAAAAAATGCATGGCATGTAAGGATGTAACTGTGCATGAAATTTCGGAGTTTATAATAAAATAAAATAAAAAACTGCATCATAAAATCTAGCCGAGTATTTAATTTATAATATAAAGTGGATCAAAGGAGATCGATATATCATGTTGCAAGCATTGACTAAAAAGAGACAGGAGAACGACACTGTCATGTGGTTCCTAGTTAGTCTCAGACTCTCATCTGCCCCTTCATATCTTTTTGAACCCGTTTCGTAACAAGAAAATCGGTTCATTCTGCTGAAATTTATAAAGTTCTGGTTGAAGGGGCTGCATTGGCTGATTTTGGTGATTTAAGAAAAAATTATTTTTAAGATATATTTATTAATAAAATAAAGAAAAAAATATATGTATAAATAGTTAAAATGGTCATCTGCACTAACTTCAGCGAATACAACCAGAAAAGTGACTCCAACCTTACTTTTTCTGCTTATTACACAATTCAGCGTGCGAAAACAAAAATTACATATTTGATGAAAAAGTTGATTGATAAGCTTGATATGATAAGCCGAAAAACAATGTTGCCAAATGACATCTCTATTTCCTATTCTTTGGTTGATATTGGAGTTCGAGGCAAGCCCGCCAGTGATCATATGGCTGCATCCGCTTTTCTTGCTAGCTTTTCAGATAACTAGTAAAACAACTTGCATGTATACCTAGCTACATGAAAAGTATAAACTCACATAAAAAGTATACCTACATATGATATATGATCGATAAAGTATTTGACTGGAGAGGAGTAAATCAAACATAGTAAAAGTAACAAAATTAAATAAGAGTACATGTTTTAAACCAAAAAAGAGTTATAACAAAAACGTTACCTAGTATAACAATTACTACGTATAAAAAAGAGTTACGAGGTCACATAACAGGCAATTAGGGGAGGGGTGATGTTCATCCGATCCATCGGAGCTAGGGTGAACAAATTAATCACATGATGACATGACTGATGACTATGGTTTCACGATAAAAAAAAGGATATCATCAATGGTGATAGCGTGGAAGCAGAAGATTGTTGTGAAATTTGGGAGGTCTTTGGGTTGAGAGTAAATTAGTACTATCCTATATCGATAGTAACCAATTATTTATTTAATTATTGATTTTCTTTATTTATATATGCAGCTTCAGTATCCCTTCATCCCAAAAGAATATAATTTGGGGTCGGCTGACATGATACGGTCTATGATATCGAGACAGACGAGGGAAGTAAGATAAAACAGATAAAATAAAGATAAATAGATACGTAGTACTTCATCCGTTCTTAAATAAGTGCAACAGTCAACATTTCACACTTGCCGAGACACAACTTTGACCATTAATATATATAATTCTCTATTAGTAAAAAATTTAAAAAAATTAGTATTTGAAAATTTACAATGAGACAAATTTAATAATATATTTTTTTAAAAAATATTTTAATACATCAATAAATAAAATGTAGTCAAAGTAGAACATGTGAATAGTGTAAAATTTCACATGTTGCACTTATTTAAGAACGGAGATAGTATAAGATAACAATAACATAAGAATATATAAGAAAGATAAAAGAGCATAAGAAGTTAAAAGATAAAAATAACATAAGAATATAAAAAGATAAAGAAAATAAACTATAAAAGAAATGAGAGGAAATGTAGAAAAGACATCAATTGTCCACACGGATGTGCGCCCTCCACTTTGCTTTCTCCAAAGTCATGCCCTCATCTAACCCAATGCAAGAAGACGCATATCAGTTATGATTCCTCTAATTCAAGTCAGTTTGGGTCTTCCCCTGCCCTCTTCTCTGTCTCTTCTCCCCACACCTTAAGTCGTCTAACAGGTGCATCATTCGGCCTTTTACGCACACGCCCAAACCACCGCAAACGAGACTCCTACATCTTATCTTCTATAGGTGCTACTCCCACCTTTTTTCTGATTATCTCATTTCTCAAGAGGTCTTTTCTCGTATGTCCACGCATCCAATGCAACATACACATCTCTCCCACATTTATCTTTTGAATGTGGCATTACTTCACTGCCCAAGACTCTACGCCATACATTAATACAGACCTAATTAATGTTCGATAAATCTTACCTTTCAGTCTAGTCGGCATACCTCGATCGCATAAAAATCCTAATGCACTCTTCCATTTCATCCATCCAGTTCTGATTCTATGACATATATCTCCATCTAATTCACCATCCTTCTGAATTATGGAGCCCAAATAACGGAACATATCACTCAGCTCTGATTCTATGACATACATCTCCATCTAATTCACCATCCTTCTGAATTATGAGCAAAATAAATTTTATTATGCAATAGTGTTGAGGTCCCAAATTGGAAAATTGTGAAGTAATAAAGTGTTATATTAAGATTTGTGCTACTCCGATCCTCCTATCAGGTTGGCCTTTTAGAATAAAAACCCGGGGTCTTGACATGGTATCAAATCCAAATCGATCCATAATAATGGTGTGAGCCTCCTATGAAAAAACGGCGATCATTATAAAAAAATGACAACGACGACGTGATGAAAAAGTGAATGACGACACGATCAAGATGAAATGCCAGGTCGTGAGGAGGGGTGTCAACGTTCCACACCGAAATATTGTGAAGTAATAAAGTGCTCTACTAAGATATGTGCTACTTCTCCTATAAGGTTGACCTTTGAGAACTGAACTTCATGTCTTAACAAATAGTGACAAAAATATTATATCTAGACTTTTGAAATACAAAAAGTGGTTAGGCCATATTAAATGAAAATAATCCCAAAAAAGATGATAAGTTTTCCTCTTTTAAAAGAAAATATGACTAACCTTTTCTTATTTAGCTTAAATAGAAATCTCCTTTTTGTAATCTCTATCCAATCTCTACACCCACCCCCACCCCAGCCCTACCTAATTGCCATCGGAAATCTCTGTCAGAAACCATCGCTGGAAAAGGCTGTGGATTTGTTTATTCCAATGTCGGAAGAAGTTGACAGTTTTTTCCAATGTCCACATTGACATGCTTCACAGTGACAGTGACATGGACAACGACAATGGCATCTGTAGTGAAATGTCACTGATATATTAATATTAATAAACTGCCAATGTTTGGTATCTGTAGTGAAGACATAATAAAAGTATAATAGTCGGAAATTGGTTTCATTTTTGTAATGACCTTATTTGGTAATTAGGGATTGTCTGTTAATTTTAAGTGAATTGACAAACGACCATCTCCCCATGTTAGGGTTTTGAGGTGTGCACGTTTCCGTGTGATCTTTATTCTTCGGCAATGCAGAGCACGGGGCTAGCTGGTCTAGCTCTTATCCTCTGCGTAGGATTTCGATTTCTACACGCCTTCTATAGTATCTCTCTGGAGTGACGCATAGCAGAAAGGCCAGGTGGTTGTTTTGTCTCAAGATTGCAGTACGATCGTGGCAGAAGCTTGTTGACTACATTGTGCTCAGTCGAGGCTTCAGGTATATGACTGAGATGGTGGATATTGCTAATAAATACAATAATATACCCATTGGTTGGTAAGTTACTCACGGACAGACTGATAAAGTTTCCGGTGTTCAGGGACCTCATGGCTTCAATATGGCGGCTCGGTAAAGGAATCTCCATCAAGAGATTGGCAACAAAAGGTACTTGTTTACTTTTTACCATGTTACTGATATGGAACGCGTTATTGGAAGTGGTCCGTGAAATTTTGAGCAGAATTTGCTAATACTCAGGGAAATTAAGCTAGGAGATACCCCCTGCAGGTTCCTCTTAATGAGGCTGAGTTCTGGGTGCATGTACATAATGTACCTTATGATTTTATGAATGTTGGGGTAGCTAGAAGAATTGACAACTTTATAGGGAAATTCATGAGTTTTGATGAAAGTCAGTTTAATGAAAAGTGGAAACCCTATATGAGAATTGGGGTTTGCATGGATGTTGGGACACCACTAAAAGTGGGCACGACCCTTAGAAAAGGACAAGGAGTAGGGCATTGGATAGATTTTAAATACAAAAAACTGCCTAGTTTTTGGTTTGCCTGTGAGGTAGGACTCTAGTTTATGAATGTGAAAATAATGCTCTAGCTAAACCCTATGGGGTAGGACTCCGAGCGGGAGGAGGAGGGAAAACTCGC